TTTTTTTTAAAGATGAGGTGTCACTCTATCACCCAGGCTGGTCTCGAACTCCTGGGCTCAAGTGATCTTCCTGCCTCAGCCTCCCGAGTAGCTGGGACTACAGGCACATACCACCACACCCGGATATTGTTCTAACTTAACAGCTGTAAACCGACTGCATAAACTTATGCAACTATTGCTGACTGGATTAGAGTAAATGTGAACAAATTAACTGCTTTTAAAAGTTTCCCGTTTGATAAATATACTGGAAATTTTACCCAAGAGACCAAATGAAGCTTTACATTCCAAAACCTGTTTCAATTAAGCAGCCTTTTCACTTGATATAAACTCACATACCCAGGAACACTGTGGGCTCAGAACATTATTTCACAAGCAGGCATTGCCAACACGTTGTTTGTGTCACATTTAGATTCCGATTAACATGACATCATTTTGTTCCTCAGATCCGCAACTAACTTCCACAATGGGAAGGATGCGAAAAAAAAAAAAAAAATACAACCATCTGTGCACTGTATCAAATGAGAATCAACCTGACATACACAATAAAAGTATCTGAAAGTTACATCACCAGTTTCACTTAACGAGCCATCCTTTGTCAATGTTAGAATGAGGAAACCAGGTTATGACTAGGAAGGGACTCAAAGGGGAAAATCCGAAGATTCTGTCCCATACCTCTGCAGAACTGTGGACCCCCTCAGAGCACTCAGGGGAGGGGCTCAGAAGCAAAGGGCTGTTTTGAAAATAGTTTGATTTTGACACAATGAGGTGCAGACAAGCCAGCCACAGTGGAGAAAAGACAGTGAATGAAGAAGTTGCAAATAGCCAAGATGAACATGAGCTTCTAAACAGAATGAATTTTAATTTGAGAAGAAAGCTTTAGGATTATGTCAACTTTATTTTTTATTTTATTTTTTTAAAGATGGGATTTCACCATGATGGCCAGGCTGGTCTTGAACTCCTGACCTCAGGTGATCCACCCATCTCGGCCTCCCAAAGTGCTAGGATTACAGGCGTGAGCCACCGCACCCGGCCCTATGTCAACTTTAAATAAGAAGTCAGGCCGGGCGTCGTGGCTCAAGCCTGTAATCCCAGCACTTCGGGAGGCCAAGGCGGGTGGATCACGAGGTCAAGAGATCGAGACCATCCTGGTCAACAT